TTCTTTTAAAAAAAAACCTTCAGTCCTGCGTCCACCACTCCTGTGGTACGGTAGCTGCTGGGTGCTGCATACACCTGGAAATAATGCACACATGCTTTTTCCGCTGGCCACAGACAGCACTGGAATGTTTGAGTTTTAAACTCCAAGTCTTTCTCCAAAATCAAAGGGAAATGAATCCATAAAAACCCCAATCTTATCAATAATATGTAAATGGAGATAAAACGAGTTTAAAAAAAAAAGAGAGAGTGATCTGATTGCTCAAAAAATTTCAATCACATAAATCCAAATGGGTTTGCCCACAGAGTTCACAGATTCACTTCTAAAAACGCAACAGCTGCACATGTTCTCAGCTGGCATGCTCCTGAGGCTCCCCGTCCAAGGCCAGGTGAGCTCCCTAGTAAACTCCAGCCCTGCTGGTCATTCCAAAGTGTGCGGCTGCAGTGAGGACGGAATCAGAACAAGGAAACTGATGGGAATAAAGCAAAGATCTGTACCGCGATCTAGGATGCTTCAAAACAGAAGGCTCCAGCTGGCTGTCGTGCCTTTACGCCCAGCATTGGGAAGCAAAGGTCCTTGCATTTCTCTGAGTTCGAGGCCCTATGTAGTAACAAACTGTCTCCAAAAAAAAAAAAAAAAAATCAAAACCAACCAAACAACACATGGCTTGTTCCCTGTTTGATTTAGTGCTCTTGGGTCAGTGAAGTGACTATGTTTTGAGCTGTTCTCATGTCTTTCTGAATAGACAAACAAAACTACTAGGGTCATTCCAAATACAACTGAATAAGGGTCAGTGATCAGTAAATGAGGATCAGTAAATGTGCCTACTAAAGGGCCACGTGGAGTGCGGCTCCCAGGGACATTAGAGGAAGTGACGTCATTAGAGATGTGCTCTATCTGGGGGAGCAACAGTCATCGCTCCAAATTCTTCTCAATTATGAGTCTTTCCCAACTTGGGAGCAGCGTAGTAAGGAAGGATCAAACAGAATAAGCAGGGACTCGGAAGAGGAATTTTCCTACCCCTTCCCCTGACAGCCATATACAAACATTACACAGAATTCACTTTGAAAATATACCCTATGCTTGAGGGTAAAGAGGGAAAAACCCAGCTTACTTGGCTGTGAGAAAATAAACAGCTGGAATCAGAAAATTTAAATTAATTTTTCAGGAAGTCAAATTAGGTAGCCCCTTGCAGGACAAAGATCTCCCTCCTTCAAAAGCCTCACATGAGGCACAAGGCCAGTCACTGCCCCCTGAGTTTCTGTATCTTACAGTTTGTTTCAAGGCCATACAACATCAGCACAGTGGTATTCAGGGGCTTCATGGTTAGCCAAGTCCACCTCAGTTCCTTTCTCCCAGATATGAACATTGACCAAAATAAAATCTTAGTTGTTTGTAAACTAATACAAAATCAAGGATGGGAGCTGTAACAGACACAAATCTGTTCATCTGAAATATAAATGTGAATTCCTTGACAGAAAAGTCATCCAACAGAATCAAGTTATTCTAAATAATAAAAAAAGAATCCCTGTAACTTTTCCATAGCAATTCCTACTTTAAAATTAAGGTTTTAAAAGGTGGCTGAAATGGAGCTGTAAACACCTAAGGAAGATCACAGAGCACCAGAATGTTCGAAGCTTTCATGACTCAGAACTACTGAGGTCAGGGGCCATGGCCAGCTTCCTGGCTCTCTGGTACCACTCCCTCCCCAGGCATCAGAGGAGAGAGAAATGGAAGGTAAGGTGTTAACCATTTGGGCTGCAGGAGGGACAGATGGAAGTTTGACTCCCAAGAAGAATAACCACAGGCTAATCTTAGCCCAAGAGGGAACTTTCATATGTTAAAGAGGCTCAGCTCAGGGTTCATTCACACTGTGCTCAGACACTGAGCTTGGGATGCAAAGAACTGGTGGTTGCTGTTGTTGTTGTTGTTGTAGTTGTTGTTGTTGTTGTAATACCTGGACATTGGCCTGATTTTCACAAATAAGCTTTAGAGAAAGAAAGGTTTGGAAATACGCTTTCAATAAACTCTCGGTGGGTCCTGTCTCTGAAATATTTACAGGCTTGCACACCTTCTCATTTTCTGTGCTTGAAGAGCCCACACCGACACCAAGCGGGTGGTCACGGCTGCTTTCTCCTTGATTTTGCTCAATTATCTGAACTAAAAATTCGCATTTAAAACTCTAGGAGAGGCTCATTCATAAGATGTCTGATAGAGATATACTCCCTTAAAAGTTCCAGCTTTAGAAGGAGGTCCCAACTCAAACACCCTTGCAGGAGAAAAGATGGGTGGGTGAAGGCCGTTTTCCTGAATAGGTACCATGATGCCTGGTCTGGCTTACAACAGGACCAACGGCATATGGCTATGGTGAGATTTCAGAGGAGGCGCCCCTGTGTGTGCCACTTGGCCACAGCTGGAATTCTCGGGACCCCAGTCAGACTCAGAAAGGAGAGGGGCCCAGCCGAGGCCTCTCCCACCCACAGATGTTTCTCTCCAGTTCTCACAGGCAGCAGATACAATAAACCAGGGGTTGTTTGTAATGCAAATCCAAGTCACAGGGATGCCCCCACCCTTAAACTCAAATGCAAATGGTCACCCCGCTCCTGACACCCGTAAGAAAGTCTACCCTTGCTGAAGTCAGTGACACAAACAATCCTGCTGAGGACAGGAGGAGGAGGAGGAAGAGAGCACAAGTGTGGTTAGGGCGAAGAAGAGAGGCTGCCTTCCGGTTAAAGTGTTTTTGATCTCAGAAACATTACAAACAGCTGTTGGGTATTAAAAACCAAAGATTGTAACTCACTTCAGTTGGACTCTGAAGAAATTGACATAGCCTTGTGGTTAAAACGGAAAGGCTTCTGGAATTGTGCAAACTGTCTCTCAATAAGACATACCTAACACGAATGCATTTTCACATGTAAGAGGATTGATTCAGCACAAGCATCAGAAAACAGAGTAACGGTTCTCTGAACACAGGCTACACCTAGTGACATTTCCTCTGCCCACAAATCTCTCCTAAGCAATGAATGACTGATTCATGGATGTCAACATTTTAATACATCCGTAACAGTAAATATCTTCCAACCTATTGACATTTCAAAATGGTGCTGGGATATAAGGAAGGCCGGCAGGCATGCACATGTGTGCCCACGTACACACACCAAAAAGATACATCAGAGGAACCGGGAGAAAAGGCCGCAGAGACCTAAGACAGAACACCACCTTAAAGGGGAAAGGAGAACTCACTGTTTGTAGGAGTTACTTATCAATACCAGGAAGTTTATTCTACTAATTTCCCCAAATTTCTCGTCTGGAGAGAAGCAGCTGTTCTCTCTATAGAATAAACGACAATTCAGAACAACTGTATTCACGGGTAAAATATAAACAGTTTTGGAAGCGAGTTTCTATTACCTAAACTCTAACTTGATTTGAAAAGATTATTTGTTGACCTTTTAGCCTTTCTACCAAATCTTCAACTGTTCCTTATCCAAAACATCCCTTCCATTAAAAACCAACAACAACAACACAAACAAACAAAAAACCCCAAACCTGCAAAACTATTACAAAACAAAACTAAAAAAAACAGATATATTTGTCTTTCTGGCTCAACAAGCCCTCTCTAAGTTTTAAAACCCAGAAGCATTTTCAGTGTGTGTTGGGGGATAATCTCTAAATAAGAGACTACAATTGCTTTATTAGTTCACCCCCCTTTTTAGGTAGAAAGATCCTACATACCACACAGACATTAAATATTTGAAATGTTTTAAGATAGTGTGAGGGAACATTCCTTGTAACAGGAACATCACAAAAATCCCCAAGATTTGATCCCCATGAGCTCAATTTCAGCTGCTTTATAAAAATGAGAAAAACTGTGTTCCCTATCTCAGTTTAAACATCCAGCTGGAATTTGTAGAAAAATGATCACTTAAAGTTTAAAATCACAAGGCCCACCAACTCCACACACCTATCATTTTCACCACTGAGGGCTGAGACCCTTCAGACAGCCACAGGCACTCCGGTTGATTACCAGCCACTGCCTCTCTGCTTCTTCAGTGAAGCCCCCAGCTCTCAGATTGTCACTAATGCCTCAGTGACACCCCTTCCCCCAAGCGTTTGTAGAAGCACTGAGTTCCATGGGACTGTAGAATCACCCCAAGAAGTCACTGAGACTCATTCCCGCATGTTCTTCATTGAGTGCTGAAGGGATGGGGCTGGGACCAAGTAGCTACTGACCACCTCAGCAGCTTCCCAAGAAGCACCAGTATATTCAGTATATTCACCAGTACGATCACGCGCACACCCTCCACAAGTTACCACTGAGATGTTTTCTGGAGACACAGGTGCAGTCTCTACTCCCCCCTGCCCGATAAATTACGTGAAATCCTTAATATTGCTTAATATTGAACACATGTGATACTGCATTTTTACAACTTTAAGTTAGTTGAACTAAAAGATTAAAAATAGCAATGACTTTTAGTACATGACCTTCAGATGATATTTTCCTCACTGACAATGAAGTGAAAATAAAATGGCTTATCCACCTTCCTTATAAACAATAGCTAATATAATAAAAGAAGACATTTTCACAGGCCGAAATAACAGTCTGCATGTCTAGGTCCAAATGAGCCTCTAAACGGTTTAGGGTTTTGAAAGCTACCTGGTCCTTGTTAACTGAAAGATTAAATCCATTTTCTTCCCATCATCAGCATAGAAAACACAGTACTTATAAAAATCACAGACTTGTTGACTTGGCTCCATTTGGTCTCATAATTTGTGATCCTCTACTTATTCATCTTAGTCCATCAGCCTGAATCTAAAAACCCAAACGGGAGACATAAAGACAGCACTGTTCTCAGGCTGCTGTTCCTTACACGGCTCTTACCCAGTGATGACTAGTCACACACAGTGAAGGCATTACCAATGTGCTTGAAGAAATAAGCATTCTGTTGAAACACAAATTAATTTGCACGTCTGAAAATAATTTTCAACATCAGCATGTTACTCACTGTCCTCGGGATGGGTGGAGAAAGAGATCCATTTGACATGTACGGGTCGCTGTTCATATTTGGCATCATTATGTAGCTAGAATAACTGGAGTAGGAGGGTCCCTTGTTGTACAGGCCTCCATCTGGATGCTTTCCTGGGAGAATCCAAAGAACAATCAAATTTGCATCGACTTTCCTTTTATATCACACTATTTTCATCAGAAAATCTTTTGCTCCTAAGACAAGCCAGGCTTTACATAAAATATTTGTTTATAAAATACTGTAACTGGATTATTATGCTCTATTTTAGATTGACAGTATTTATGCTCTCCAATGGCTTAACAGCAAACCAGATGTTTAAAAAACATGTGGTTCAATTTACTTCCACTACTGACTGATGTTTTTACAAAAATAAGTGTTATTCATCTAACTTAATTTGTACTAATGCTAACAAACTGGACTGAGCAATACGGAAACCCAAGGGAACACACACAAACTTAAAGCCTGTTATATGTGAAGCCATCTACCCCCCAACACACACACACACACACTCACACACACACACACACACACACACACACACACACACGCATGCACGCACGCGCGCACACACACATTTATACATTTGACGTCTCCTTCTTTTAGACAAACTCAAAAGTTCCACCTGTGCCTCTGGATTTTTATCAAACGTTAGATTTTCCTGAAGGAGAAAACTGGATCTAGTGTATGGTTAAAACCCAAATTTGTAGTGAATTAACCTTTGGAAGACCTAATTTCATGGCTAAACTTATGTCAGTCTGCCAAAGAAATGTCCCTTTACTTTTAATCTGTATAACTATTTGCTGCCAAGAAGGAAGGCTGATATACAGCTCTCTCCCTGCCCCTTGGTCGACACACTGAATGTACAAACATTCCACTCTAGACAGGCCAATTGTTAAGTAATTGAAGGAGACCAGACATGCCAGCTGATTGACAACTGAACCCTATGGTGAGCTGATTAAACTCAGAAAGAGCAAAGAAGGAGGGTGGACACATGTGTGTGGGATTTTTTTTTTTTTTTTTTTTGAGTATTGACAAGAATTAGCAATGGGAGAAATGCCTATCAGTTGATAGGTGCAGCTTCTAATATTTTTTCTATTTTAGAAGCTAGGTTCAGTTTTACTGAGCTCTGATCCATCTGTCCACACACTGCCTTCCTCCTCCTCTGTACTGAGAAACTACACACACACACACACACAGCAATGTTGCAAATGAAAAATTCTAAATTGTTACTGTTGAAAACATGCTTCAGAAACACTCCTTCTCTGAGATTCTGGAAGGCAAGAGGAACCCAGAGGCCTAGGCTCATTCAAGGACTTGTTCTCAATGAAATACACACAATGAAAGAGAAACTGAGTTTCTGGGCTTTCTTTCCTACTCTGTCAAAAAGGTCATGAGTACATGGGCACAGTCTTGCATATCTGGTCCCAGCCTACTGAACTCAAATGGAAGTATATCAAAACCAGATACTCAAACTGCACTTGTCCTCTGGTACAGTGGGGAGAAAGAGAATCAGGCCTCTTACCGTCATCGGGGTGTTCTCTGGCCTTGTCGTGGTAGGAATCCTGAGCGGGCTGTGCTTGTCTTACCACCTAATGGCGTGGAGAGCCACCCCCAAAAGAAAGGAGACAGTCTTAGAGTTTGTAACGGTTAGGGTGTGTCTGCTGGTCATCCAAAGGAAGAGGTTTAGGTAAAACTCCGTCTACCCCTTTGGTTAAAATGAAGGACAGGGCAGGCTTGAGTACTGGAAAATCTTATTTCAATGTATGTGTTTGAGTGGTTATTAGGTCTCCAGATCAAAAGGTAAGAATGGTGGGGGGGGGAAGTGAATTTGGGGATGACGTGTCCTGCTCTAACACCCCATCAGTGCTTCCTGGGAGCCCCAACTTCTAAGATGTGTTAGCCTCTTCAGCCTTGGTTCACTTTGACAAGATCTGATTAAACGCCACCAGAAACACCGTGTTGTAACTGAAAACGAGATCTGGAAACATAAACAAAACAATCCCTTTGCTGAGGTTTTAGGGAAGTTGTTTAAGAAGCAGTCCTAGCTGGAACTGCATTCACAGACAACTTAAAGGCTGAATGCTAGCAGGCTATCAGAGGAGAGCTGGTCTGTGGTTAAAGGGAGGGAAAACCGAGAGTCTGGTTGTAGACATCTAAAAGGTAGCCCAGTTAATATCAGTTTTGGTAAGCGCCACCGACCCGACTCAACCACGTGCAAATCAGCGGTATGACCCCTTCACCATCTTCCGTGAGGCTGAGTGAGGCTGCTTGCTCCACTTGCACCGCGGAAAGATGGTCCGTTCAAACTCCCAACCCAGGAGTTCTCGGTTTCCAAAGCACTGCTTTTCACCTCTGACCAGTAAACCGTGGAAGTGTGAGGTGGATGGAAATCTGTGGACTCCTCTAGAACAGAGAGACCACTCTACCGTCTGGCAAAAAGCCCCCGAGTTTAGACGGTATTTGATTCTTTGAACCTCTGTCCTCCAGGCGACCTCATCCTTCAGGCGCACAGAAACCTTATTTACCTGATTTTGACTGCACCCTAGCCGCCCTCCTCTACCTTTTGCTGAACTTTGGGAATAGAGAGCCCCCTTATACTCTAGGAACCAGCACCCCCTCCCCCAGCCTTCTCAAATGCGTACTCACCCCTGCCATCGGGACAGAGAAGGTAACTCGGAGGTGTTCTTAAAAGTACTCTTTAAACCCAAAATGTCCCCGCCCCCGAAACCACCCTTTCTTTGGGGTGGGGGCAGAAGGCTGCCATTTAAGGAAAAGGGTATATTCTCCACGTTTCCCTGGCAGGAAAAAACGTTGGGGACATCATTTGGGTATCAGAACTTTTCTACTGGATGTCCCCGTGAGGTTTCCCCAGCGGCTGAGCCGGAGCGGCCGGTGAGGTGTGGGCTTTGGGGTATCTACGTCCATCCGATGCTCGCGCGCGGCCCGGCTCTCGGCTCCCTCGCGCCGGCACCCACGTGTCTCTATTTACTCTCCTCGGGTTACCAGCGCCCGTCGCCTGCAGCTGGCCCCCAGATCTGATAAAGCGTGTCCCTCCCTCCCCAGCCGCGGCCCGGCTTCCGCTGCCGCCGCCCCGCTCTCGGGCTCGCCTTTCTTCTGCAGAGATCCAAGGCCTGCCTAAGCCCAAATAAACGCCTTTCTTTCCACTTGAGATGCCGGGGTTGCGGGCGGAAGGACTGCGGTGTCTATGCTGTTGGGTGGCTCGGGTCGGCTCGCCCACGGCTCCCCGCAGCAGCCTCGCCGGCTGTGGGGACCGGGCCCCGCAACGCCCCCGCAGTTGGGGCGCGCGCCCTCCTCCGTGGCGGTTGGGAGGGCCCCTCCTGGCCGGCCCACGCCCGCCTCTCCTTCCTCCCGCCTGGGGCTCCGCTCCTTGGAACCTCGGTGGTTTAACGCACTTTTGCACACTCTACCGAGAGAGCTAGCGGATGCACTTTGTTTTCCGCCCCCCCCCCCAGGATGGACTTCGCAGTTGTGCTTAGACATCCCTGCTTTTAATGCATCGCTCCCCGCAGCCCCGCCGAAACGACGGAGAACGAAACGGGTCGGGCAAAGGCCAACGTTTCCTGCCCACTCACCGCCGTTTAGCCACAGACCCACTTGGACTAAATTTCCTTGCCCGCCGCTCACACACGTGCGCACCGTGGAGTAGGGGCCGTTATTCCCCGCCCAGCCCGCGAGGGACCAGGGCGCAGCGGCCACGGTGGCCGCGCGCTCCGCTGGCTTCCTCTCGGCGTCCCCCGGACCCGCCACGCCTCTCCGGACAGCGGCCCACTCACCTCATGCCCGTTGCTGGCCGGGATGATTTCGGACTCGTTGACCAAGGAGGACTTGATGTCGGCTAAATCGCCCTCCTCTTCGGGGTGACTGATCTCGGCGAAGATCTTCTCCTTCTGAGGATCGCCCTCATCCTTGAAGGGGATCATCTCATCGGTGGCGCAGAGTTCCGGGTCCCCGCCGCCGCCGCCTCCGGAGAGTTGGGGCATCCCGGCGGCTCTGTAATCTCCGCTCCGCTGCGGGAGCACTCGGCGACGGCAGGAAAGGGGGGAGTCGATGTGAGGTGTGTGGGGGAGGAGTGGGGGTGAGAGCTGTGGGAGGACTGCGAATGGAAGCGGGGTGGGCGAGCGAGGGGCCCGCGGCCGGAACAGCTGCGGGAGCCGCCGCGATGGTCGCGCTTCCCCACTTCACTTAGAAGGACGCCGGCGCCCGGCCCCGGGGCGAAGGGCACCAGACTGCGCGGGCGGCAGCCGCCGGCGCCTCTGAGAGCGTCTGCGGCGCTCCGCGTGCGCTGGGCTAGGCTGCCGGGGCCGGTCGGCCGCCCCGCCTTGCTGGGGTCTGTGCACCGGGGACGCCGGTTCCGGAGAGGACACGACTTTCCAAAGTGCAAAGGAGGGTCCCGTGGCGCGTCGCCGTGCAAAACTTCTCCGCCGTGGATTCTTCAGATGCCGGTGTCGGAGTTGGGTGTTTCGAGGAGAGCTGGGCCAAAAGGCTCCGTTTGCCTCAACAGAGGTGCGAGGAGAATCAGAAAAGACCGCAAAGTCCACTTCCTGAAGGGTAAACAATAAAGAGCAACCCGGGCTGCAGACGTCCGTGTTAGAGCCTCTTTCCTTCCCTTTCGCTTCGGTTTTCCTTCTGGAGGAGCATTTAATCTGCTGGGGGGAGGGGGCGGAGGAGGAGGGGAGAAAAAGAGAAGTTTGCCAAGAATAAAGTTTGTGCTGATGAGCGCTGGGAATCGGCAGTGGCTGGCACAGCGGCGTCTTGGGGAGTCACAGCAGGAGCCTCGGGCCCAAATGTTCCAGCCCGCAGCTCGGGCCGATACACACACATACACACACACGCGCACACACACACACACACGCACACACACACACACACACACAAGCCCGATCCCTCTTTGTTCCCGGCTCGAGTTTCTGCCTGGCTCGCTGGCGCTGTTACTCGCCTCTTTCCCCGCCTCCCCTCTGTCAAAGCAAAGAGCTGCCGGTGGCCCCTCGGCTCCTCCAGGCCGACGGGAGGGGAACACCCGGAGCGTGGCGGCTTGCAAGGCTCCGGGGGAGTCCGGATGCCAGGGCCCCCCGAGAGCGCAGCCGGGTCCCTCCGGTGCGCGCTGCCCAGCAGGTGAGCGAGCGGTTGCGCCTTCCCACCGCTTCTCCTCGCCGCGCCTAGCCGGCGCTGCAAAGCTATTCACTTGCGTCGCTTCTCCTCCCCCGCCCCTCCCCCGCCTCCTGCTCTCCTTGGCTGCTGACTGGAGGGGTGGGGAGAAGGGAGTCTGCTAGGAGGAGGAGGAGGAGGAGGAGATCCAGGTTCTCCCCTAACTCTGTTCATTTCCCAGCACCTAGAGGACGAGTCATAGTTTGGGGGGGGCGCTGTGGGTGTGCATGCGTGTGTGTGTGTGTGTGTGTGTGTGTGTGTGTGTGTGTGTGTGAGCGCGCAT